CCCAACACCACTTTATCTACAAAAGGGGTATCTGGACATACAAAAATGCTTATAACTCAAAAACTATTCAAAATAGGAGCTTAAGATTTTTTTAAGCTCTGAAGGGCTATCCATCGGACCAGCCAATAAGTCCCTCCACCCCACCTCCTTGGACCCCCACCCCATCTGAAAATTCTGGACATAAAAAAAATGCTTATAACTCAAAACATCATCCTTCTTCACCCACCCATCACATGATGCGTTGCAGCTGGAAGCTGGCTGTTCACACAGGAATAGAGAGCAGGAAAAACTGTAAAATATTTATATTTCACCTTTTCCTTGATAAAAAATTAACTTTTAGAAAGTTTTTAGGTGGAAATGTGGCACTGTAGAACTCAAGTATCTACTCCCTTTGTCAATATTTTGCTTCCCGTAATTACAATTTTACTTTAACGTTTTCATCATAGTTTTAAAAACTCTGTTTTAAAGAGGATGCACCGCATGCGAGGACATGACATACAGCCATCAGAGTGCTGTTAAATAAAAGGATAACTTGGCTTCCAGAACCACTCTGCGCGCTGCACATCATTAAAAAAGCAACAACAGAATTACACAGGACTTTTTTTTCTTTTTACAGTGGTGGCCCATGGTTTCACTTCTTTATTAAAAAGCAATAGCTATAATATGCCCCAAAATGCGCAACGTCATTTTGTACTCACACATTCCCTCACATACACGCACAAGTACCTGTGGCACTCCAGTGCGGTGCCACTGAACGCTGAGGTACATCCAAAGAGGCATTCTCCTTTACACTCTTTTACTGCACAGCAGAGAATCTGGTGACATCTAAGGCCGGCGTCACACTACAAGAAAATCATACCGATTTTTGCCCTTCCGACAATCTTAAGGAAGTCCATATTATCATGATGGCTCTAAAGATAATCATAGCAGATATTCCTGCCATGGGTGGTGAGTTAAAAGTGATCTAGTCAGCTCAGAAGGACATCAGGACTGCTCCAACCTCAAATCGGGAATATCCAACATGTTTGGTTTTTTGACCCGATGTCGCAGTGTGTGTAGTGTTCAACCGAGCTCTCAGCCTGTGAATGTGACGTAAACACGGAGGGGATTCCAAAATACAGAACACAAAAAAACTGTCATGACCCACCAGAAAGTCTGCTGGATGTTAAAAGTCCTATGGAATTGTTTTTCCTCTGGTAAAAATAGTCCACAAACGATCAACATTGTTTCTTCCTTGTTGCAAATGTTTATTTACCCTGTACTCACGTCTCTCTGGAGGTCACGTGAGATTTTTCCTCAGACATATGAATCCTCACGAGATTTCAGGAAGTCTCACGTGATTTAAAATCTGACATCTGATTGTTCATGAATGAAATATCTTTTCATGTGTGGTGTGTTGTCTCTTGCCGTGTGGCTGTACAACACACACTGTAGGACCAAACCTGTTATATCCATGATTTTTTTCCTCACGTGTGGGCTCTCTCAGTCTTTGAAAATCGGCCGTCTGCTTTAAAATCTTGTAGTGTGACTCAACCTTAATCAGTAGGTAAACTGTCTGCTAGACATCAAATCCCAAAGTTTTAAACTTAAATGAACTTTGTCTCATCTGTGAAGACTATTAACTTTTTATTATCATAAAGAGTAGAACATTGATTTAGCTCATTTACCAACTACAACATAATGTCAAAAAAAGAAAAGAAAAGTAAAGGAAAGACTGTAATCTCCTGAATAAACCAGCAGCAGGCCGGTCAACACCGTCATGGTTCCACATTGACAAACTTCATGATTTGTTTTAGTTTGATATTGTTTTTATAATATAATATAATATAGTATAATATAATATAATATAATATAATATAATATAATATAATATAATATAATATAATATAATATAATATAATATAATATAATATAATATTTGTAGAAAAAGTATTTGTGTTTTAGGGCACGTGACAATCTCATGTTCCATGGGCCAAACAGGGCCTCTAACATTTTATCCAGCCCCAATTGTATACTTTAAATGTGATATAGTTTTATGGTTTATCTTTTTGTCTGTATTTAGTGCATTCTTCTCATGACAGCAGGACAACTTTCAAAGCAAATAAAAAAATAAAGTTTGAGTTTTTCAATAATCTTTGATTTTTATTGTGGAAAGAACAACATCCTTTCCTGTATTATTTTCTTATTTTGAAGTCAAATTTTTAATTAAAAAAATACATTTTTAATGAAGGCTTTATTTAATTTTAACTGAACATATATTGTGCTACATATATGACATCATGCATGAGAATGTGGTTTGTTTCATTATCATTCTACTCAAATAGACTACCAAGAGCAGATTTGCTTTTCTATTTTTCATCAACAAAATATTTTATTTGTAATGATCATTCCAAAGTCCCTTCTCATGTAAATACCAGAACATTTTAAACAGCTGCAACCCATATGTGAATTTTAGTGTGTGAGTGCTTTGCATATATGCAGGGGTCTTATATGCTACCGCTATGTGGTATGTAGTTGACTTTCATGTACAAACATAACTATATTCTCTCTGTCTTCAAGCCTCATTTAAACACTTTTATTTCCTCGCCTTTGACTCTAAGTGAGTTGGTTCAAAAACCTCACTTTGTATAGCTCTGATCTTTTCAGCGGTTTGTGGTCATTCAAAATGTTTTTGTATTTTTAAACTCAGAAAAAAAAGTGGTGTATGGTATAGTTACATCAAGGGTCCCCAGATGATTTCCAGAATCAATTTAAATGCAAATAAATTGCTAATGGAATATTTTCACCATAATTAATGCAAAAAAAATTGCAATAACCATAAATGAATGAAGGTGGCTCAGTTGGTAGAGCTGTTGCCTGTTTGGGGCGGCTGTGGCAGGGTGGTTAGGGGAGTCCTCCTGTAACCAATAGGTTGCCAGTTCAATCCCCCGTTCCAGCTGCCTCAGTTGTTGTGTCTTTGGGCAAGGTACTTCACCCTCAGTGCCTCTGATGTGTGTCCCATCAGTGTATGAATTTGATTTAAAGCACTGGTTAGTCTCCATAGGATGATTTGTACATGTTAGTTTTGTAGAGACCTAATAGAGTGCTGTGTGAATGGGTAAATGAGGACACAGATTGTAGTGTGAAGTGCTTTGAGTGTCCTGGTTAGATAGAAAGGTGCTGTCCAAGTACAGTCCATTTACCATTTGCCTCCTAGCAAGAATGTTGCCCGACTGAATCCTGACCTGGACCTTTTCTGGGTAGAGTTTGCATGTTCTCTCCATGCATGTGAGAGTATGAATGGTTGCTGATTGTTTGACTAATGATATGGGCACCAGTAACCCCCATCTGTTATTTTGGACGTCATAAGCTAAAAAATTTTGAAAACCACTGATCTAGACCACAGTGCATCTCAAAATACAGATTTTGATCATGCACATTAGTAACTGTAAAAAGAAGTAATTCAAAAGTGTCAGGTAAATCATGGCTGAACAGTCAGATTCAACCCAATTTCTTATCTCTGTTTTGCTCATTTTTGTCTGTTTCTTCATCAGTGCGCGGGAGAGGAGAATTGGGTGGACAGTCGGACGGTGTACATCGGACATAAAGAACCTCCTCCGGGAGCTGAGGCCTACATCCCTCAGCGTTATCCTGACAACCGCATCGTCTCGTCCAAGGTGAGCGGGCATCAGTCAGTGCCACAGCATACTTTGGCATCTCGCTATTCTTCTGTTTCATATTCAGACAACCACGTAATCTTTTCTGTCACTTTTTTTTGAGGACACAATCCCTTCTCAAAAAAAGGTGATGCACAGCTTCAAACACAAAAGCCAAGTGTCTTGTGTTTGAAGCTGTGTGCATCATATTTTCCTCCAGAGAGGAGGATGTTTGCAGCGTGCCATTGGGCCTCACGCAAGAACATGTTCATATTCTTATTCTAAATCTCTCTTACTTTTGTTCACATGAAGGGTTCGTACGAACATGCCACATCAGATTCAACAAACTCTTCTATCTTCCTGAAAAGGGTGTAAATGAGCTGCGTAAATTCCACCTGTTCGTATCCAGCTGCTCGTGCACGCGAGAGGAGATTAGCATAATTACCACCCCAAAAACACCATTTAAGGGCTATTTTTCCTGCCTCAGATATCAGGAAGTGTCCATTCAGGAAAATGACAGCGAAAACTAAAAAGATGAACTTTACGAGTTCAGAGACTGAAGTCCTGCTCTCAGAGATCCAGAAAAGAAAATCTGTCATTTTTAGCAGGTCAGCTGTGGAATAAAAAGAGCTGCTAAAAGTATAAACAACTGTGTTAAATCATCTTCATTTATTCAGAAGCCACACCGTTGCGCACCGTATGCCCCGCCCCCCAACCACCACCACCCCCGCGCTGTCGCAGGTGGTCTCAGATGCTGGTCTGAAATAAGCATTTTAAAATGTTTTCAAAATATGTCTGGCACTTTGGAGAAAATCCAAGACTTGCTGGAAGGATTATGTATCCCCTCTGGCCTGGGAACATCCCGGAGTCCCCCAGGACATGGAGGGTGTCGCTGTGGAGAGCGGGGTCTCTCTGCTGCTGCCCCCGCGACCCGATCCCAGATAAGCGACAGAAAACAGACAGACGGACAATTTATTGTTAGTCTAAATTATTACATTTAAAATTATAACTCTAATTCAAGCAGAATAGCCTGTTGTCAAGATAATCAAAGAGTCTAATTTMTTTTCAACTCAAATTATCTTCAAACTAACGAAATATAAAGTTATTAGTGAATAAAATCAGTCTGGAAAACAGCAGACTGACTGCTCGTAAAATATACGACAGGTCTGGACCACTCGTGAATTTTGTTCGTATCTGAAAAAAATCTTAGAATATGAAAACATTGGTGAATGCCACAAATTCTCCTAAATCACTCGTACGCACAACTTAAGAACAAATCTGTGCGTACGAACGGTTCTTGCATGAGGCCCGTTGTGTCTTTCTCAGTTTATAGTTGCTATAATTATTTTCCTGCCACTCTGTTCCACAGTACACCTTTTGGAACTTCATTCCCAAGAATCTGTTTGAGCAGTTCAGAAGGATCGCCAACTTCTATTTCTTGGTCATATTTTTGGTCCAGGTAAATGTTTCATTAGAACATCTCACCTGTTTAATTAGAAACAGAACAGAGAAATGTGAAGGAAGGATGATTTTTTTCTTTAAAAACATTTTTAACCTTTGCAAGTATTTAAATCAATGTCATGTCATTGATGATGATTGAAGATAAATGTGTGAAAGCACTCATAGATCTAATTGTAGTCTATTTATTATAAAACACATTTTAAACTAAAAGTGAGACTGAAAGAATTTGCATTAGTGTATTTTCAAGAAATGTGGGATAACTTACGTTCAAAATCTGAAAATTATAGTTTAGATCTTTTGAAGCAGAGTTTTGTCAAACTTTTATAAACAATATCTTAGAAGTTGTAAATGCTCATTAAACAAACATAGTTTGTAAAAACATAGTATAATTCTAATTTGTTTGATGAGCTGAAGGCTAGTCAGAGCAGGGCAAAGACCAAAATGATTTCTCAGCAATCTGATTTGATTTTGACCTTGCTGTGACTAGCCGTTGGCTCATCAGCCATGTACAGTATTAGTTGGCACAGCTCACTAATCTGTATTCTCCTTGTTTTTAATCACTTTTAAAAAATGTATTTTGCTACAATATTACTATTTGAAAAGTAGGAAAGTTGACAGCATGGCAGATTTTTCTGGGTTATATATTTGTTTATCATCCCCAAAAATCAAAAGGGCAAATATGTTTTAGTCTCTGTGTACAGTATTTGTTCACAGTTAAATGAAACTCTTGGAAGTAATAGTATGTAMATCTAGAACTGAATAACTTTGAAACCAAATGGCTAATAGTCCTAAGCTAACAAAAATAAGGTTATCAAATGTATGGATATTAAGCTAAATTTTACTATGATGGCTAAAAATAACAAAATGTACTATTTGTCCTAACATTTTTTGCCAGATCTGCTATATTGCATTTAACACCATTTACAAGGATTGACCAAAATGACTATAAGTTTCTTCTCATGATAGGATAATAGTTCATAACTCAGGCATAAAAGGAAATGGGTGATATGAATTTCTTCAATGAAAGATGAATGAAAGCACTTTGATTTCAAAGGCTGTAACCAAAGCTGCACCTACAACCTCATCTTTGCCTTTCTCTGAACCCCACACCCAACTCTTGTTTCTTTTGTCCCCACTTTACCCTCCCCCACCCCACTTCCTCCTCCCTCCCTTGCAGCTCATCATCGACACCCCCACCAGCCCAGTCACCAGCGGCCTGCCCCTCTTCTTTGTTATCACTGTCACCGCCATAAAACAGGTGGGACACACACAAACACACTCTGGGAAGCAAACAACCTCAAACAACAACCTCTGGTCTGAGATAAGACACATGTATGCTCACTACCAAACAGCTTCTCTATTATCTGTATGTACATTCCTCTCGCAGAGAAAGGACACACTATTGAATATGTGTGGTGATGTGAGAAATATGGTAATGAATGTTTTCTTCTGTTAATTACTCGAGCCTAAGAGGGGCATCTCCCACTACAGAGAAATTGGGTGCTATCAGTAATAGATGAAGCTGTTCTAGTGAAGGAATCTTGAGGTTTACATGAACATAAATCTAACTAGAAATATAGGACACAGGTCAGCAAACGAAAGGAGATCAATGCTAATTAATTCCAGAGTAGAACAATCACCTTCTCCGTTGTGCCTCTTGAAATCACAATATGCCTCCATACTCTGCACAAAGCTTTTTCTCTCTCTTCAACCATCTTCTTTTTCCTTATAAACATATTTTCTGTTTCTTTCTTGTGACTCTCTCAGGGCTATGAGGACTGGCTAAGACACAAAGCTGACTGCTCTATAAACGAGTGTCCGGTGGACGTAGTGCAGCAAGGGAAGGTGGTGAGGACACAGAGTCACAGACTACGGGTAAGAATGGCCTCATTAGACCAGCGGTGCACCTGAGGCCACCGAGCAACACTGCTGCACTGCTGCACTGCTCACGTTTTTTAAAACCGTTGCTCTCACCCCACCCCACCCCCCCACACACACTTTCTCCTCTCTGCAATGCTCCCTAACTCGGTCTCTGATGTTTGTTCTACCGAATAATTGCAGTGAAACTGTGGTAGACTGCTCCCTGGTGCATCACGCAAGAGTCTTGTGATGTATTTCATGAGTCATGTTGTTTTGGTCATAATTTTTTYAAATTTTGTCTTTTGTCATCCTGATGCAAGACAGGACCGGTCTTTGCCTTGACTGAGTTATTTAAATAACATCAGACCTTAGTGGCGACCCTTTTAGCTGCAGCTTATTACCAGGGTTTTGTCATTCTGTTATTTGCTGCCTTAAAGATGGTTCTCTRAGTCTACATTTACACTGCAGGCAAATGAGACCCAAATCTGATTAATTGCCCCTGTGCGACCCATATCAGATTTTTTTCTTGAACATCGAAATATGACAAATCCGTTTGTTTGTTTGTTTGTTTGTTTGTTTGTTTGTTTGTTTGTTTGTTTGTTTGTTTTCTTTTTTCCAAATCCAACCCAGGCTTTTTCAAGTATGCAGAACTAAAATGGAGACATACAGTACCTTATGTTTTTCAAAGCAACTTCAGTCTGAACGCTCATCTTGCATTTCATTTAGGGGGTGTAACAAAACATCAATCCACATCAATATATCGATTAAATTATTCATTTACAACGTAAAAATCAACCCATATTGTCATCATATGCTCGATTTGGATAAATTGAGTTATTTTCTGCGCATTTTTGTTGCATCAGTGCTGTGGAGAGTCTGATGGAGGTCACATTTAAAATATATCCACACAAGGAAATCAGATTGAGGAAAAAATAATAATTTATTGTGCATTAAGACCTGTTTGTGAACGTAGCCTATTTTGTTCTAATGTTCTATTTAAGGGATACTCATACTCACATTTGATAATGGTTTTAAGCATATTACTGTCTCTGTTAACTGGGGTTTGCCCTCTGAACCATTAGTTAAAATATAAAATTCCCCATTCACTTAGCCCATAGATAGACATGCAGTACTGGCTGTAAATAAGGACCAGTCAGAAGTTGGAGTAATTGTAATTATATTTTAGTTSTATTCATGGCAGCCTTGTTGAAGGTGATAAATGTTGACATTCTGCAGGAAAAAAGGATGAACCATCTTCATGCGCAGCAGCTGCTCCACAAACATCGTTCCTCCTCCATCCAGGCATTTAATGAAAACAGTGTCCGGCTGTATAACGTGACTGATCTAACTCATCACCTCCTGTGCAGACCCATTGATTCAGTCCACTATATTTTAGTCTTGTAACACCATTTTGTCAGCAGGTGCGTAATGAGTGCTGGAACATCTCGTTTCTGCTGTGTCTGCTGCTCATTTGTGAGCGTGCAGAGACCATGTGGGATGTTGAGGGTCAGCTCAGAATAAACAGCTTCGGTACAGCTGCCAAGCATTTAGAGGTTGCAGATAACCAGAGTGTGTTACCATTGCAGTAGTTTTCTGTGAATTTCCTTAGTCATGAAACACCTTGCATGCATTTTTTCAAAAGAACCTTGTTCTTTCTTTACTGTGTCCTTGCTGTATTTATTTAACCTTTTGCCGTTAGCCTGCAACACCGTCTTTTTCTCCCTCTCTGTCTCTTTCTCACATCAAACAGCAAGGATTAGAGTGTGAATTGGGAGTAGGAATAATGATGAATATATTAATCATATGAAATCAGAGAGCGTGTGTCATGTGTACGGTCACCGTGGAGACAGGATTTATTAGAGTTTAAGCTGCTCTGCTCGCATAATCTGTTACGCAACTTCTCAATCCTTTGGAAAAAAAAAAAGAATCCTGTAGGGGAAAAAATGAAATGGTAATGGATGAGCAGACCTGCAGGTCTTTCTGTTTGATTTTTAATTTTTATCTAACTACTGTATATCAGCTTCAGTACTATCAGGAAATCTATCATGAGTGTCCTTTTCTTTCAGGTCGGCGACGTCGTCATGGTGAGAGAGGACGAGATTTTTCCCTGTGACCTCATCTTTCTCTCATCGAGCCGATATGATGGCATCTGCTACGTTACCACCACCAGCCTTGATGGGGAGTCGAGTCACAAGGTACCAGGATAAGTAGGATTCTTTTGTTTCAGTTCTTAATTAAACTTGATTTTTATATGGTCACGTGGGATCATGAAAAATCTGCAGTAGCTCTTACAACAGGTTTGTAATCGGCTACATTTAAGAGCTGTTTTAGTACCAAAAAACACAAATCCTTTTATTTTAACCAACAATGCATCCCTGCTCACACAGAACAATGGTCATTATGTAAGAGTATAAAATATATTTAATCTTTATCAGCAAAATAAAACAATGTCACTGTTCTCCGGCAGGTTGGATCACAGACATTACGAATAATGAAAGAAAACATCCTCATATGATTTATTTGTATGTGGTTTCTAAAGGATTTTTAAAACTACATGAAGAAAGATGATTAAGACATGTTGTCATCGTTTCAGGAAATGTGCAATTCATTTCATACATATTTCAATGATCTCAAACTGGGTTTTAACACAATTTGTTTGATGTGACAAATTTGTTTTCGTAATTTTTCCAATCTTTTTTTGCAGTAGAATTAGTCACAAACAGACACATGCAGTGCCACTTTTTACAGTGTTTTTCTGGGGTCCTAATGAAGTGAAACCTTAATTCTTGAAGTGAGCCATCAACATATAGTCAATTAGTTCTGACAATAACAGTTTTATTCTAAAAGTTGTGACTCATCTGCAGTTTGATGGTTGGTTTAAAATACATGTTTAAGAGACTTGTAGCAGTGGCTCAGGTTTTGAAAATATCCTACTACATACATTAAAACAAAAACTTTTAAATGAGTAGTTAATAGACAAGTTTCTCTTCCATCCTGACTTCTGTCAAATATTTACTTTAAAACTGAAAAAAATCACTTTATGATTATCGATTTCTGAGATTAAAGTCCATAAATGTTGTTTTCTATTAGATCATTTTACTTCTAATTCAATTCTACTTTTTTGTAAAACACTGTAAAAGTCAGAACTGTACAAAGAAAATCTGTTTATTTATGATGCCAAATAACAAGTGTCATTTAAGGCCGCAATTAAAAGAAAAAATATCCAAATCATAAATCTAATTTAGATTCTGATTCAGACTAATTTACAGTAAATTCAATTCACATTATAAAACAGCACATTCACATACAGTACATTATGTCATGTCATTTAGTAAACATTTTCTGTTTGTGAAAGCCAGCAAATTGTGGAGAAATGTTTCTTTGTTGCAATCTACCATCTAAAGAAAACATATTTGGTGACTGTGGAAAGGAATGACTCCCTTTTAACAGAACAAAAGATATATGAAAAATATGTTCCAGCAATCACACCACATAAACTAAAAAGATGGGTAATATCCATGAACATGAAGTCAAATCAGCAATATGTTAAAAACAAATAAAACAACATTAAACCATTAAAAAGCTTAAATCAACATCTCGTAGTGTGTTATGAGTTTTCAAAACAGACAGAGAAAAAGCCTAATTTACTATAGGTCTTTTTACTCACCACTATTCAACTTTTACTGTGTTAAATTTTGTAAACTTTAGGTACACTGAAAAATAGAAAATTGGAATTTACATTGTCTCAACAATAAGACAATAAAACAACAAAAACTGTTGTTCTTAACTTTGTTAGCACATTTTTATTTACTTTCTGGGTTAAACAAAGGACACATATGTAAAGGTTTATTAGTGCCAGCTTAAATTCAAGCATTTACTACCCTCTTTTAAAATCAAAATTCATCTTTATTTCTGACATTTAACAGGCAAATTAATGGTAGTATTTTTACTATTTAAAAGATTATACTAACAATCAGGAAAAACAATCAACAACCAGCAAAACTGCATTTACTGAAGACATGTATCTCTAATTCCCACTTTTCTTATGATGTTCTTTTATGCCATATCAACTTTATGTATGGATCAAACGCACACTATCCCACATATAGAGCAGAGTTCTCAACCCATCCTTCCCATACAAATCCTGAGAGGGCCCTCCTGCTTCCCCCTTTTCTGACCCATGGAAATACTTTCCAGCTACTCATTTTCTGCTCTACAAGATTCTTTGTGCCACTTAAAAAACCTGCCGAAGCTGATACAACAAATAAACTTGTCTTCATATCAGTGTGTTGGTGACATTTTCCTCTGTTCTCATTTTCCTCCACTTTTCTGTCTCAGACATATTATGCTGTACCAGATACCATGGCCTTTAGAACGGAGCAGGAGGTGGACTCGCTACATGCCACTATTGAATGTGAACAACCACAGCCTGACCTCTACAAGTGAGTGTGTCCTCATTACACACAGACCTGCTACAAGATCTGACCTTACCGCCTTGTACATCTTGATTTGCTGTTGTTGTCTGGTTTTTTTTTCCGCCAGATTTGTGGGACGCATCAACATTTACAAGGACAAAGAGGAGCCGGTCTCTAGGTGGGTGGTGTGCTGTTAGTATATTATTTGTGTTTGTGCTGGTACTTTTCTTGAAAATGTCTTGTATATTTTATTGAAAAGCTTAGTTTATTCATCAGAATAAATTAAATTATTTAGTTAAAGTTTMTTAATACCAAGCTTTTAATCTGCTTTCTTTTTGCAGAACACTCGGAGCTGAAAACTTACTTCTCAGAGGAGCCACACTGAAGAATACACAACAYATTTATGGTATTTCATTAACTTCAATTTGTGCCTGTCTGTTGGATCTTTATGTAAAGCTTCTTATGATGTTTGTTTTCTCTCCTTCAGCTGTGGCTGTCTACACTGGCATGGAGACCAAGATGGCACTTAATTACCAGTCAAAATCTCAGAAGCGCTCTGCTGTTGAGAAGTAAGATTAATGACTCAGCTCTGATGATTTGAAGCTGTTTGTTCTCCAAGGTCTAGTTAATGGTACTGACTCATCCCTACCTTGTCATTCTCTGCAGGTCTATGAATGCCTTCTTGATTGTGTACTTGTGCATCTTGATCAGTAAAGCTGTGATCAACACTGTCCTGAAATATGCCTGGCAGTGGTCTCCGGACAGAGATGAACCCTGGTACAACCACAGGACTGAGAACGAGCGCCAGCGCCACGTGGTCTGTCCTCAAACCCTCCAGGTCTCAAAACAAAATCTTAACCAATTAGGATTCATCTAAAAAGCGTCTTCATCTGTCCTACTTGTTTCCAGGTTATCCGAGCCTTCACAGATTTCCTGGCCTTCATGGTCTTGTTTAATTACATCATCCCTGTGTCTATGTATGTCACGGTGGAGATGCAGAAGTTTCTTGGCTCTTATTTCATCACCTGGGATGAGGAGATGTTCGACGAAGAGCTGGGACAGGGAGCTCAGGTGAACACCTCCGACCTAAACGAAGAGCTGGGACAGGTTTGTCACGGAGCACACAAAACAGTCGACATTTGTATCAATATTTTTTTGTGTTAGCGCACCCTCACTGTACCTTGTCTTTGCCTTCCTGTCAGGTGGAGTACGTGTTTACAGATAAGACCGGCACTCTGACTGAGAACAACATGGAGTTTATCGAATGCTGCGTTGATGGCAACGTCTACATCCCACATGCAATCTGCAACGGCCAAATCCTCAGCGCTGCCTCCAGYATAGACATGATCGATTCTTCTCCTGGAGGATTCAGAAGAGTAAGTTTKTGTGTTTTACACAAGAATCAGATTTCTAAATACACACATAGCCTTACGTTTGCTAATTGCCTAAATGTGTGATTCCACTGTACTAACATTTTTTTATTGTAAATATTTATTTGCATTTTCTTGAGAAGAATTGTTCTCAGGCATATAGAAAAGTGAGGAATCTTACATTTATTGCTGTGTCATCAAAGATAAGTTTAAATTTAAAAGAAAAAGGCAGCTTGTGTTGTCAGCATGAGCAGCAAGAGTGCGAGAAATTTTTCCTGCTTCATTGCAGGTTATTCTGAAAAAAATTGCAAAAAAAAGAAAATCCTATATCAGTGACTAAACAAAACATAATCCAAAAAATGTTAAGGAAAATGAGGAAACTGACACAGCTCTGAACTGAATGAAATAAAGACGTGGTTTTTGTGTGTCTGCAGGAATACGAGGATCTGTTTTTCCGGGCGCTGTGTCTGTGTCACACGGTGCAGGTGAAGGAGGAGGAGACGGTGGACGGCATTAAGAGGGGCATCCAYCAGGGCAGGCCCACCTCCTTCTACATCTCTTCTTCACCAGATGAAGTAGCTTTGGTAGAAGGAATGAAACGGTAACCATAATGTAACACAGGATATTGTTTTGCAAACTATAAGTAATAAAGTGTTTCAGTTTTAATGGGAAAGCTAGTTTGAAGTTTAACAGACACACTTTGTAATAATTAGTAAAGGTAGAAAATGTTTGTAGTTGGTCAGTGTCTAATGTCTAAGTAACACATAAAGATTAAAGAAAATTAACTTAGCTCATTAATAGTCAGTCATGTCTAAMCCTTCTTATATTTACCTGTGTCTTGATCCTCAGAAATGTGTAATTTTCACACAAAAAAATCCATAGTACTGTCGCAATACAACTTGATTTATCATTACAATGCTCACAGCAGWTTCCATGTGCTTTAATTGCAGTCCAAGCTGACTTTTCTAAGATTTACTGTATATTGTGCACGTTGATACTGAAGTGGCAAAAAAATTTCAATATATCGTGCCATTTTAGTTAAGAGTATTGTTTGCTTTGTGTTAAAAAAATTCTGTAATTGATTTCAAATAGCTTAGAGAGAGCTTTATTGTCATTGTACAGAGGACAATGAAATTACATTATAGACCACCAAACACTCAAATAATAAGTCTGGCATAAAAATACAGAGTTCTACAACGAAACAGTTGGTGATGGCCCAACTTCTGCTTTAACATACACAAACACATTTGTTCTTCAACTCCGTGGGGACTGTGCATTGAYTTCCATACATTTTTTTTAGACTTTATATCCTAACCCTGACCATTTACTCTRAAATTAACCTCACAGGTACTTAACTGACCCTAAAACTAAACTAAACCTTGGTCCTAAACATAACCCCACACCCGTTATTTGCATTTGGACCCGTGAGGACCTGGCAGTGGTCCCCACGATTCATTTCGGTCCCCACAAGGCTGCTTTTTTTGGGAAAATTGTCCACATGTTATAG